GAGTAAGTATGTTTTTGCCGAGGGAGATAAAAATGAACAAAAGCAGTGGAGCTAAAGATTAATTCATCCAAGATAGAAGGTGGCCACTTAATAAATGTTGGCAGGCTAGCTTTGGAAATCCTAAGTGGTAGGTAAAACAAAAATATACATATACCAAAGTACTAAAGGCTGTCAATTTGATGGTGTTGGGAGGTCAAACCACAACAACTAATGGGATGCAAGCCCACGTGGGGCGCTGGAAATTCCCAAAAAAAAATTAAAAAAAAAAAAGAGATTGAAAGGTACAGCTTTGGCAGGAAAGCTGCCAACACAAGAAAGAGGTCAAGTGCATCAATTAGTGTATCGGACGTCTAAGGTCCCAAGGAGTGTTCTAAGTGTCAGGCTATTCCCAAGGTCTAAGGCTATTTTCCTAATACTCCCAAGATCTTTAAAAGATCTTCCAAATGCCCAAGGTCCCAAGGCCTCCAAAAGATTTTTTTTCAAGTGTTCAAGGTCCAAGGTGTACTCAACATCAAGATAACACTCCCAAGTTCCTAAGGTCTCAAGCTCCCAAGGTCTCCATGGTGTCCTAAGATGTCATGAGGTGTTAGAAAAAATTAGTCCTCGGACTACCGGGGACTACAAAGAAGACCCTCGGCCTACCGAGGTTTTTAAAAAATTAGTCCTCGGACTACCGAGGACTACCAAGAAGACCCTCGGCCCACCAAGGTGTTTAAAAAATTAGTCCTCGCACTACCGAGGACTACCAAGAAGAACTTCGGCCCACCGAGGTGTTTAAAAAAATAGTCCTCGGACTACCGAGGACTACCAAGAAGACCCTCGGCCCACCGAGATGTTTAAAAAATTAGTCCTCGGACTATCGAGGACTACCAAGAAGACCCTCGACCTATCGAGGTGTTTAAAAAATTAGTCCTCTGACTACCAAGAAGACCCTCGGCCTACTGAGGTGTTTAAAAAATTAGTCCTCGGACTATCGGGGACTACCAAGAAGCTTCTCGGACTACCGTGGTCTACGACAAAGCTCCTTGGCTTACCAAGGTGTTCGAAAAATTAGTCCTCGGACCACCGAGGTCTTTAAAGAAGCTCCTCGGCCTACCGAGGTTTCCAAAGCATTAGTCCTCGGACTACCGAGGTCTACAAAGAAACTCTTCGGCCTACCGAAGTGAAGTATATGTCCAAATTATTGCTATCAATGTCGCTTAAGGAAAATACCAACGCTACTGACGTCGGTATATAATAACTACCTACCGAAGACTTAAGAAATAAGGACATGGCAAGAAAAAATTACAAGGGTCTGAGGACTTTCAAATGCTGACGTCGAGCGAGCTTGACAAATCGATGCAATCCCAAGAGCTTGATTCTCTCCCCCTCTCTATCTATATATCTCTCTCTAGAAAGTAACAATGTGAAAAGTGAGAAGAGAAATGAGAGAGGAATTTTATAGCAAGCAGTTGGACTGTCTGTCTACACAACTATACTGGAAAGTCACAAATGCAGATATTAATTTGTGAATGTCTCATCGCTTATTTTCTGTACGCATAAAAATTAATGCGTACATAAAATGGGGGGCAAGTGATAAGGGAAAAAATATACATTTATTATACGACACGTGGCTCGAGAGGTAGAAGACACGTGTGATCCGAGGACTATTGGAGTCCAGGATTAAGGCCGAAGCCCAACCCCAATTCAGGCCCAAGGTCCCAAAGAGCTTTACTCTGGGCCCAATGTCCTGAGGAGAATTACTATAGGCCCAAGGTCCAGAGAAGCTTTACTTTGGGCCAAAGTTTGAGGTCAGCCCACTAAGCTTATGGGCCAGGGAGTCCTCTGCCTGCAGAAAGGAGATCTAGGTCGTCTGACTCCTATGAAAGGACGACCTAGGTCAAGGTAAGGGACATTCTGAACTCTCCAAACTCTCTCTTCTATTCATTACACAGCCACCACCTCAAAAAAACCTATTCTAACTTAAGCATCAGAGGATCTACCCCTGGGGACCACCCCGGGGTTCTATTTTGCAGGCGTTGGAGCAAAGGAGACAAGTCCAGGGAGACGTCGGAGCATCGTCGCCACGTGTCCTCTGACTAACGTCAGGTAATTCTTGTATCCTCAATAATAATAATAATAATAATTATAATAATAATAATAATAATAATAATAATAATAATAATAATAATAGTAATTCTGCATCATTCACCCCCGGTTGAGCAGGATTCGCCCTCGAATCCGTCTCGTTCCGGTTGGAGACATCACCATGA